GACTGTCGCTACTACGATCAGTGCTTCTGTTGAGCCTACTACTATTATGACGTCCCCTCAACCGGTCAGTACGCCCGCTGTGACCGATGAGGTCGCTGTCACTACTGCGGCTCCTGTGACTGGCGAGGTGACTATCACCACGGCAGCTGGAGAAGCTCCGGGAAGAGACAAGGATGACTCTGATGCTACCACCCAGGTCGCTACGGAGGCTGCGACTGTCACGACTACGATCGGTGCTCCTGTTGAGCCTACTACTACTATAACGTCCCCTTTCCCGGTCAGCACAGCTGCTGTGACCGATGAGGTGCCTGTCACTACTGCAGCTCCTGTGACTGGCGAAGTGACCATCAGCACGGCAGCTGGGGAGGCTCCCGGTAGAGACAAGGATGACTCTGATGCTACCACCCAGGTCGCTACGGAGGTTGCGACTGTCACGACTACGATCGGTGCTCCTGTTGAGCCTACTACTACTATAACGTCCCCTTTCCCGGTCAGCACAGCTGCTGTGACCGATGAGATTGTTGATACTACTGCAGCTCCTGTGACTGGCGAGGTCACCATCACCACGGCAGCTGGGGAAGCTCCCGGTAGAGACAAGGATGATTCTGATGCTACCACCCCGGTCGCTACTGAGACTGCGACTGCCACTACGATCGATGCTCCTGTTGAGCCCACTACTACTATCACGACCCCTCAACCAGCCAGCACAGCTGCTGTGACCGATGAGGTTGTTGCTACTACTGCAGCCCCTGTGACTGACGAGGTCACCATCACGACGGCAGCCGGGGAAGCTCCCAGTAGAGACAAGGATGATTCTGATGCCACCAACCCGGTCGCTACCGAGACTGCGGCTGTCACTACTACGATCGATGCTCCTGTTGAGCCTACTACTCCCACGTCCCCTCTACCGGTCAGCACAGCTGCTGTGACCGATGAGGTTGCTGTCACTACTGCGGCTCCTGTGACTGGCGAGGTGACTATCACCACGGCAGCTGGGGAAGCTCCGGGAAGAGACAAGGATGATTCTGATGCTACCACCCCGGTCGCTACTGAGACTGCGACTGCCACTACGATCGATGCTCCTGTTGAGCCTACTACTATCACGACCCCTCAACCAGCCAGCACAGCTGCTGTGACCGATGAGGTTGTTGCTACTACTGCAGCCCCTGTGACCGACGGGGTCACCATCACGACGGCAGCCGGGGAAGCTCCCAGTAGAGACAGATGATCTGATGCACCAACCCGGTCGCTACTGAGACTGCGCTGTCACTACTACGATCGACGCTC